ATAATCCTTTTGCTAAAGGTATATTTTACTTTTCTTATACACCTTGCACATAAACTGGTTTTTTTTTTTCCCCCAATAGTTTTACATTCAGGAGGCCTAGTTACTTTTAAATTATACAATATTTTTTGCATAAATTTTTTTAACACTTTTTTTTATAACCTTTTTTTCACGACTTTTACAGGCAACTTTTAGACATGCCTTAACTTTTTGACTTATTACAAACATTTCTTTTTTTAAACAATAGTTAATTTATTTCAGACAAGAATTTACCATATAACACTCTTTTTATATAAATTCTGCCCCTCCACTTTTTTTCCCCCCTTTTTTTTTTCCAAAGATGATAACCATTCTTTTCCAAAGTGAACTTTTTTTCATGTCTGTGGACTAGACTGTCTAAGGCCACAAGAATAGAAGTTACTGTAATACATGTTACATTGTTAACTTTTAGCAAACTTTACTTTTGTTGAAAACCTTGTGTTTGGGATTTTAATTATGCTTTGCTATTAATAAGACCTTGTTTTGTCCAAATTAGAATTGGTATGATGGCTTTTTTTTTTTTTTTAATTACCCAGGAGGAACCATGATCGTCCTGTCCTGCAGGGAGTTCCTCCTAGGTCTGGTCAGACCTTCGTATGGTAATTAAGATTTAGATCCCCTGTTAGGAAACCTGCTGGGTTAAGGGAATTTTCAGTGGTTAATGTTAAATCATCTTTCTTTCTCTCTTTGACTTTGTCTCTCTCTCTTTGACTTTCCTTTTGCCTCTGTCCCTCTCTCTCTCTCTGCCTATCTCTTTCTCTCTCTCTCTCTCTCCTTGACTCCCTCTTTGTCTCTTCCTCTCTGTCTCTTCCTCTCTCTTTTTGCCTCTTTTCATCTGTCTCTTTCCTTTCTCTCTCTCTGCTGGTCTTTCCTTGCCTCTGCCAGCCGCTATGCTGCTGTTCTCTCAACCACTGTGTGTTAGGCGCGGGGAGTCTAAAACCAGCTGTAACCAAGCGTCTATGTACTGGAGCTGGTCTGGGTGCCCTGGCCTACAGGTTACCTTGTGCCATACCTTTGAAACAGGGGACCTGTCCAGGCTTCCTTCTAATGGCCAACCTACCTCTAATGCTGGCCAATCTATCTTACACAAAGTTTTTCTGGTGTCATAGTACTCCATAGTCTCCCTTAAATGCTTTTCTTGAAATTTTTCAACATAGCTCTTAGTGGGGTGGGCTTACTTTGTGCCACACCCACATTTCCTCGAGACAAAACACCATGCTCACACCACACGCACACCACAAAACAAAGAATGGGTAAAAAGGGCACACACACACTTTTGTAGTTTACACCAAACCAAAATCAAAACCAAAATCAGAGTATCCAGAAATCCAAGCCAGGTCAAAACCAAAGTATCAAGCAATCCAAGTCAAATCAAAAACAAAAACCGAAGTGCTGGTACAGGCACACTGTGGGTGATCAGGCCACGCTTCCACTCAAATGGAGTAGGCAAGTTCCCAAGACCAATCCTGTCAAGCAATTCAAACCAAGTCAAAACCAAAACCAAAGTGCCGATAAAGGCACGCCCTGGGTGATCAGGCCACGCTTCCACTCAAATGGAGTGGGCAAGTTTCAAAGACTAGTCTTACCAAGTTTTAGATGTCCAGACTCCAAGTGCCCGTTCATTCCCAGTGTTCAGCCACTGCATTGATCCTCCACGGGGGCCTGCCACACCCTGCTCGGGCGAGGCATCCCACTGGGACAAATGCCTACCCAGGAGCACTCTCAGGAACCCCGTTGCTCAGGGTTGGAGTCCCCTCAGGGATGTTCCACAGGGCAGGCTTAAGCAGCCTAAGGAGGTGTCTCGACCATCCGACCATCCACCAATCACCTTGCTTCCCAGTCAGGAAACCAAGAAATGTAGCAGGACAAGCGGCAGACAAAACTCCTCAGATACCAAGTTAAAGAAGGAAGGAGTTTATTCGGCCAGGGGCATCAGCAACACGCCTGTCTCAAGAGCCAAGCTCCCCAAGTGAGCAATTCCTGTCCCTTTTAGGGGCTCACAACTCTAAGGGGGTGCGTGTGAGAGGGTCGTGATTGAGCAAGCGGGGGTACGCGACTGGGGGCTGCATGCACCAGGTAATTAGATCAGAACAAAACAAGATAGGGATTTTCACAATGCGCTTCTATACAATGTCTGTAATCTATAGATAACATAACCGATTAGGTCAGGGGTCGATCTTTAACTACCAGGCCCAGGGTGTGGCACTGGGCTGTCTGCCTTTGGATTTCATTTCTGCCTTTTAGTTTTTACTTCTTCTTTCTTTGGAGGCAGAAATTGGGCATAAGATGATATGAGGGGTGGTCTCCCTTACTAGGTCGAAAGTAAGGCAACTATGGTCAGGAATATCTGGAACTCCCTCTCCTCAGCTGGTGGTCTTGTGATGTATAGTTTACTTGTTCTGGCTTAAAGGCCCAAGTTTGAGGTATTCTTTTTGTTGTTTTGTTTTAATTTTAATCCAAGCAATGCAAACATAGAGTTTAAAAATTCAAGTACAACTAAAAGTATTATAGACAATAATAAAAAAAAAACATTTCTTGGCTCCTTCTTCAGATGCAATGCCTTGTAACATTTTATACCATTTAGGAGTTCCAGGCCAGCCTGGGAAACATAGCAAGACCCTGTCTCAAACAACAACAACAAAAATAAATCCAATAACTCTTAGGTTTGTGAAAATTGTCAGAATCAAGATAGAGTCCCTAGTGTGTGTGGGGAAACAAACAAACAAACAAACAAAAAACAGAGAAGTAGAACCCAGGAAGGCCATTAAGAGAGGATTCTCATGCACAGATGCCTGCTAACAAAAACTGTCACAAAACACTGCAAAACCACAACCTTGCACAAATGCTGTCAAAATCTTACACAAAAAATACTTCTTCAAGGACATTTGCCCAGCAACTCCCTGTGCAATCTTGGACTGGTGTCACCCTTGCTACTGATCTTTGTAGCCAAAGATAATTATCTCAAAATAATTATAATCCTCCACATTTTTCCCTTTAAAAACCTTTGTCTTCCCTTACCTCCCTGAATGTGCACATAGTTTACTATGGCACACATATTCCCACTGGAATGCTTTATTCCCAAATAAACATCATTTTCTTCTAGACAGCCTCCCTCTGTTATTTAGGTTGAAAGATTAATACTATTGTTTTAGTTTCCACTTCCCTGAAGCAGGAAAAATTTTATATTCCTCTACTTGTGTAAGAATTTGCCTATGCAAATGTTAATTGGCTCTATAGTTACTGATTATTCCAGTGATATTTTAGTGCCCCTTTCAGAGAAATCATTTGGGCAACTCCCCAACTGCTCACCTTTTAATTCAGATCTGGTTGTGGTTAAAAAAAAAGAGCAGGAATATACAAAAATTAATTGGGCATGATGGGGTGCAAGCCTGTAATCCCAGCTGCTCCGGAAGCTGAAGCAGGAGAATCGCTTGAACCCAGGAAGTGGAGGTTGCAGTGAGCTGAAATCACACTATTGCACTCCAGCCTGGGTGACAGAGTGAGACTTCTGACTCAAAAAACAAAACAAACCAGCCAGGCACAGTGGTTCACATCTGTAATCCCAGCACTTTGGGAGGCCGAGGCGAGCAGATCACCTGAGGTCAGGAGTTTGACACCAGCCTGGCCAACATACTGAAACGCTGTCTCTACTGAAAATACAAAAATTAGCTGGATGTGGTGGGGCACACCTGTAGTCCCAGCTACTCAGGAGGCTGAGGCAGGAGAATCATTTGAACCCAGGAGGCAGAGGTTGCAGTGAGCTGAGATTGAACCATTGCACTCTAGCCTGGGCGACAGAGCAAGGCTCCGTCTCAAAAAAATTAAAAAGGCAGGATTGTGTGTACAGCAGGTACAGCAGAAGGTGAAGGAGGGTAGTTCACTCAGAAAAGAACTGTGGCAGATATTGCAACATCTCTAGTGTAATTCTCTTTAATTTATAAAAAGCTAATCACTTTGTTACTTTAAATCATGACACACCTCAGAAATGTCATATACTCCTTTTCTAGACACTGCAGTTGAAACTGTTGGTCTAGAAAAAAAACAAATTATTGGGCCCCAAATTGAGAGGCTTGAATATTACAAATCAGACACTTTTTCATATTTTTGGGGAGAAGGACAGGTTTACTTGTATTGAGAACCCAAGTTTCAAATAATAATAATTTAATTAAAATAATTTTTTTTTGAGATGGGGTCTCACTCTGTCACCCAGGCTGAAGTGCAGTGGCACAGTCTTGGCTCACTGCCACTTCCACCTCCTGGGCTCCAGTGATTCTCCCACCTCAGCCTCCCTGGTAGCTGGGACTACAGGTGCCCACCCCGACTCCCAGCTATTTTTTTGGTGTTTTTGGTAAAGATGGGGTTGCACCATGTTGCCCAGGTTGGGCTCAAAACTCCTGAGCTCAAGTGCTCTGCTCACCTTGGCCTCCCAAAGTGCTGGGATTACAGGTGTGAGCCACTGTACCTGGCCCATTAATAATCATTTGTCTGGAACTTTACAGAGTACCTTCACAATCGCTCTCTCATTTGAAACTTGAGACAACTTATTTAATTAAGCAGGGAGGTATTCTCATCCCTATTTACAAGGAATGAGGAATCTGAGGTTTAGAGAAGTTGATGGGGTTATGCAAAACTATATGCAACATACAGTTTTTGGAATAGGCAGTGCTTGGATCCGTTTTCCTGATTCAGATCAGTGTCTTTTATACTTCCTTTTCTTATTTATTTATTTATTTATTTATTTATTTATTTATTTTTTTGAGACGGAGTCTCGCTCTGTCGCCCAGGCTGGAGTGCAGTGGCCGGATCTCAGCTCACTGCAAGCTCCGCCTCCCGGGTTCACGCCATTCTCCTGCCTCAGCCTCCCGAGTAGCTGGGACTATAGGCGCCCGCCACCTCGCCCGGCTAATTTTTTGTATTTTTTAGTAGAGACGGGGTTTCACCGTGTTAGCCAGAATGGTCTCGATCTCCTGACCTCGTGATCTGCCCGTCTCGGCCTCCCAAAGTGCTGGGATTATACTTCCTTTTCTTAAGAAAGTTTTCAGGATTGGGATAATGCAGTTACCGAGTAGTTCTGCTAAGTTATTGATCTTGGGCTAAATAATATAGTCAGGACTGTCATTTGGAAAAACACTATGTTCTTCCAGAGTTATCCTCTTATAGAAGGTGAAAACTAATCTTACTCCCTTAACTTTCTCGGGAAGGTTGATGTTAAACTTTTAAAAGCCACCCCTTTAAAAAGAATGCTAGATATAGACAATTTTTAAAGCCAAAGTGAAGGTTTACAAGTCATTTAAACACTCAATTACTTGGGGAGAGCCTGAAATGCCAGCAGATGGGGTTATTTATAGCACTGTGCTGAGAGCCAGTATATATATTTATTTGTACGAGAGTGGAATCTTGGCTCTGGATCATTTCCTGACTTGTTTGAGACTCTGAGTAAGTCATTTATTATGTCTGTATTTTGGAATTATAGCCTTGCCTCAAAGGTGTGTTCTGTGATTAAATGAACTTCTATTTGTAAATCTTGTTTAAATTTCTCTGATGAAAGGCATATCAGTGTTGATAGTTGTGGAGGATAAGAACGCTGACAATAATAATAAGTATGATAATATCAGTGCCTTGAATTTATGCAGTATCATTACTTTGAGGTTTTGAGTGCCTCCCATGTAACATATATTCTATAACAAAAAACTGTAATTACAAACATTTCACAATAAATCATTCTTACTGTGATTTTTTTTTTACTTGCAGAATTGAGCATACCACAAAAAAGTTCTCATTTTGTGTCCTCCCATCCCATTCTCCCCGTTAACCAAAGGTAATCACAGTTGTTTTGTATATATCCAGATGTATATGTATACATACTAATGTATATGACTGATATAAATATTTTATAAATTATTCCACAACTTATAAAATATTTATAATGTTTTGACCTTATCAATATGCCTTGAAGAAATTTTCATGTCAGCATGTAAATCTTTTTTAATAAGTGCATAGTTTCCCAGTTGATTTATTTAATCATTCCCTTATGAAAAGATTCTTGAGTTGTTTCTAATTTTTCAACATTAGAAACAATGCTACAATGAATGTCCTATATATACATCTTTGCACATCTTTGTGTGTATTGCTGTAGGTTAGATTTCTAACATGGCTTAAACTTTCACGCTGAAAAGATATGTATTAAATTGTACCCCAGAAAGCCTTACCGATGTACTTCCATAAATAGCACACAAGAGTGTCTTTCTCCTATGGTCAACATTGCTTTGTATAGTATCAGTCTCTCTAAATTTTGCCATGTAACAGATTAAAAATTCATTTTAATTTTCTTAACCACTAATGAGGTTGAGCATCTTTTTGTAAGTTTATCAACCATTTACATTTATTCTTTTGTGAACTGCCTGTTCAGAGACATTCTCATTTTCCCCATGGGGTGAGTTTCTGTTTCTGTTTCTCTTTCCTTCTCTTTCTTTTCTTTTCCTTTCTTTTCTTTCTTTCTTTCTTTCTTTCTTTTTCTTTCTTCCTCTCTTCCTTCTTTCCTTCTCTCTCTCTCCTTCCTTCCTTTCTCTCTCTTTTCCTTCCTTCCCTCCCTCCCTTTCTTTCTTCCTTCCCCTCTCTCTCTTTCCTTCCTTCCTTCCTTCCTTCCTTCCTTCCTTCCTTCCTTCCTTCCTTCCTTCCTTCCTTCCTTCCTTCCTTCTTTCCTTCCTTCCTTCTTTCCTTCTTTCCTTCTTTCCTTCCTTTCTTCTTTCGACAGGGTCTCACTCTGTCACCCAGGCTGCAGTGCAATGGTGCAGTCATAACTAACTACAACCTCAATCTCCTGGGCTCCAGTGATCCTCTTGCCTCAGCCTCCCAAGTAGCTGGGACTACAGGCATATGCCACCATGTCTGGCTAATTGTTATTTATTTATTCCATTTTTTTTGTAGAAACGAGGTCTCACTAAATTGCCCAGGCTGGTCTGTGTCTTATTGATTGTAAAATCTCTTAAAATATTTTGATTATGAATACTGGGTTAGGTATGTTTCCCAGCTTGCTGTTACATTGTTATCTTTTTTCTTGCTGAAGAAAAAGTTTTTAATATTTATGAAATCAAGTCCAGTGTGGTGGTGCATGCCCATAGTCTCAGCTACTTGGGAGACTGAGCAGGGAGGGTTGCTTGAGCCCAGGAAGTTGAGACTGCTGTGAGCCATGATGACACCACTGCACTCCAGCTTGGGTGACAGAGCAAGACCGTGTCTCAAATAAAATAAAATAAAATAAAATAAAATAATGAAATCAATCTTTTCATTTGTCAACTAAAGGAAAAAAAAGTCAGGCTTTTAAAGAATTAACATTAGTTAATTCTCAGAAGTTACAATGTTAGTTTTATTCAGAGTCTTACTGAGCATTGCAACCCAGGAGAGTCTTTCAGAGAGTCTCTGTTAGACTGCTCCAAAGCAGCGTTTCAGCCCTCAGCTTCTATACAGGCGGTGGAGGTTCTGCATGTGCTTGGAAGTTACCTAAAGGTGCTCAGAGGTTACATTAGTGCAAAATCTCATCAAAGTTCAGGAGCGAGAGTACATTCAGTTATAGATCACAGAGGCATATTCATTAATCCTGTCAGATGTTATCTTATGGATAGGAAAAGGTAAGGGCTCACTGAACTTATCTTTTCCACAAATGCAGTGATTCAGACGTGGGAAACTGTGCTCTATCCTACTTATGGTCTTCAAGCATTTTTCCAGAGAGCTGAGCTCAGTCACTGAGTCAGGGGTTTGGGAAGTTTATGCTGACAAACAGAATGAGCAAACGTGGTTCTTCACAGCAAGGGCAGACCGTGTGGCTAGCCAGAGGCAGATGTTTGCTACTTTGCCTCACACATTTGTGACTTTTGGGATTTGTGTCTTCTTAAGAAGGAAACTCTTCTATCACCCCTACCTTAAGATTATAAAATAGTGTCCTCATATTGTTTCTGCTATTTTTAAAAGCATCAAGTGCTCTTTAATCCTTGTGAGGTGTATTCTGAATAGCTATGAGAAAGGAACCTATTTTATTATTTTACCAAATGTTTAGCCAGTTGCTTCAAATATGGTAATTAGTTCATTTTAATCCCAGTAATTTGAAATGCCATCTTTCAAAAATATCAAAGATTCGTAATTCTTGATTCTGTTTCTAGACAGAGCCATTTGCCTAATTCAGTATTAATATTGCATTATTTAATTTTTACTGTTTTCTGTAACTGCATAATCTATCTTGATATCTGATATACAATGTTTTTCCTCATTCTTTTTTTCCCCCCCAAATTGCAGGGCAAAATCTTGTGCATTTTTTCTTCAATAGTAACATTAGAATGAGCTTTTTAGGCTCTATAAATAATAACACCGGGATTTTGGTTAAGAATCATACATTAAATGTAGGAGAATTGGCATTTTTATAGTAGTGGGTCTTTTCAGTCTGGATCATGGTGTGTTTTTCCATTTATTTAGGCCACCATTTAGGTCTGCTTTTGTCTTTTTTTTTTTTTTTTTTAGGATTTTCAGTATATTTATGTAATTTTCTTTATCTGAGTCTTAATGTTTATTACACAGTTAATTCTCTGTTATTTTATAGTTATGGTTTTTATCATGAATACAGTTGTAAAATTCTATTTTCTAATAGTTAATTATTGATGAGAGAAGTTATTATTTATTATTATTAATATTTTTTCTATATCCTACCTGATAATTTAATTTTTCTTTTATTATGGAAGATTTCAAATATATACAAAGTAAACAGAATAGTTATGAGCTGCCACGTACCCACCCCAAAGTTTCAACAATGATCAACATTCTGCCGTTCTTGTTTTGACTCCCTTCCTACTTTCCACTCCCAAAATTGCTCTTACTTTTTACAGTTCTTTTTTTCCTCGTAGATTAAAAAATTTAAACGGTTTATTTGAGATAACTGTGGATTCACATGCAGTTGTGAGAAATAATAGAGAGATCTCAGGTACCCTTTACTCACTTTTCCCAGTAGTAACATCTTATACAACTCCAGTACAATATCACAAGGATGTTGACATTGATACAATCAAGATAAAGAGAATTTCCATCACCACAAAAATCTCTGGTGTTGTCCATTTATAGTTACATTCATTTCTCTGCCACTCCCACTTAACCCCTGGCAACCACTAATCTGTTCTCCATTTCTGTAGTTTTGCCATTTCAAGAATGTTATGTAGGCCAGGTACAGTGGCTTATGCCTGTATTTCCAGTACACTGGGAGGCCGAGGCAGGCAGATTGCGTGAGCTCAGGAGTTTGAGACCAGCCTGGGCAACATGGTGAAACCTCCATCTCTACTAAAATACAAAAAATTAGCCAGCGCCTGTAGTCCCAGATACTCAGGAGGCTGAGGCAGGAGAATTGCTTGAACCCTGGAGGCAGAAGTTGCAGTGAGCTGAGATCATGCCACTGCATTTCAGCCTGGGCTATAGAGAATGTTATAATAAGTGGAATCATTTATATACATTAGATGACATTTTGAGATTGAAATTTTTTTCACTTAGCATAATTCTCTGGAGATTCACCAAGATAATATAACAATAGTTCATTCCTTTTTATTGCTGATCAGTATTCCATGGTATGGGTATACCACAACTTGTTTAACCCATCACATGTTGAAGGACATCTTGGTTATTTCCAGTTTTTGGCTATTATGAATAAAAGTGCTATAAACTTTTGGGTACAGGTTTTGTGTGAACATGAGTTTTCATTTTCCAGGATATATGCCTAAGAGTGCAATTATATGCATGGTATAATGGATGGTAATTTTATGTCTAACTTTTTAAAAAATTGAAAAACTGTTTTCCAGTTTGGCTGTACCATTTTACATTTCCATTAGCAATGTATGAATGATCAGGTGTTTCCACATTCTTGCTAATATTTGGCATTATTACAATTTATATTTTAGCCATCCTAGTAATTGCATAGTGATATCTCGCTGTAGTATTAATTTGTATTTTTTCCTATGGCTAATATGTTGAACATCTCTTAATGTGTTATTTGCCATCTGTATATCTTAATTGATAAAATGTCTCTTCATGTCTTTTGTTTTTGTTTATTTTCTAATTGGATTTTTTTTTTTTTTTTTTTACTGTTGAGTTTTAGGCATTTTTTTTTGTTTTAGTGGGGGGACAGGATCGGGCTCTGCGACCCAGGCCAGAGTACAGTGGTGCAATCATAGCTCACTGAAACCTTAAACTCCTGGGATCAAATGATCATGTGGCTTCGGCCTCCCAAGTAGCTAGGATGCCTGGCTAATTTTGTATTTTTTAGAGACAGAGTCTCACTATGTTCCCCAGGCTGGTCTTGAACTTCTGGTCTCAAGCAGTCCTCCCTTCTTGGCCTCCTAAAGTGCTGGGATTACAGGCATGAGAATTCTTTACATATTCTAGATGCTAGTCCTTTGTTGAAGTTTAATATTGTTATATTTGTCTATTTTGGTTTTTGTTGCCTGTGTTTTTGAAGTTTTAGCGATAAATCTTTGCCTGGACTAATGTCCTGAAGCATTTCCTCTATTTTATCTTTTAGTATTTTTTATAATTTTGGGTCTTAAGTTTATGTTTTTAATTCATTTTGAATTGATTTTTGTATGTATGATGCCTTCTTAGGATTGCTTTGTCTAATCAGGGTCTTTTTTGGTTCCATACGCATTTTAGGATTTTTTTTTTTTTTTTTGAGACGGAGTCTCGCTCTGTCGCCAGGCTGGAGTGCAGTGGTACAATCTTGGCTCGCTGCAACCTCTGCCTCTCAGGTTCAAGTGATTCTCCTGCCTCAGCCTCCTGAGTAGCTGGAACTAC